GAGGGTCGAAAGATAGTTCAACGAAACATTCCTTATTCGTATCGATTGGAACTGGGTATGAGCAAATTTTTATTCGACCATTGAATAACGAATAAAAACAACGTATCTATTCGTGACGTTCATGCTACGGATTTTAATTTTACTTAACGAATGAAAGACGAACGACAGTTTTTCTTTTATTCGTTCGTAAAAATTAATATCTAAATAAAAATGTTACCCATCTCTGATTGAAGCCCACTTCCCTCGGTGTTAATTTTCAAACGAGCGTACGCGATCAAAGAGCTCTCGATTGCAATTCGTCGCATAACGTTCAATCGCGAATTCTCTGGTGCACGTTTCTTTGCCAAGTGGTGCTTGGCTGGTGGGGGGTAATCAAACTTTCTGAATGCTTTTCGAGTCCGTTCTACGCAGCTTCGAAAGGCGATCGTCAAAGAACGAACTTAATTCGCATTCGCTTCTCCCTTTTCAATTGTAACGCGTAAGCCAATTCACACCTGAATAAATTATTCCATCCACGAAACGAGTTTCCCCTTTATTATTCCCTCGTGTTTTATTTCGATTCGATTCGTTCCGGTGGCCCGGAATCTTTTCGCAGGGATAACACAGCCGAAGGTGGCAACCTCAAATATTTAAGGTTCCAATAATTAAAAAACTTTTATACCAACTTTACACATTTGAAAAGTTGGAAATGCTACTCGAATAGTGGCGTATTCAAATACCGATCGAATCGTATTCAAATTCAATTGGAGTACTCGACTAGTGCAACAACTACCTATACAGGGTGTCTATGTATAAGTTCGGACATACGCGAGGTGTCAATTCTACGACATATCTCCAACAAAAACTAACTCTTAGAAATTTTCTTTGTATCGCCTTATTCCGTAAAGTTTGACCTAATTTTTCACGTATTCAATCTTCGTAATAAATTTTGGTTTCGTATCAGGGAGTTGGGAAATTTAACGCTCTCTCGAATGGTACACTTAATTTTAAGTTTGCACTGTAATTTGGCGGAGTTATGGCCGTTTAAAGAGTGTCGAGTCGAAAAATGCAGAACAAAAATTAAAAGTGAAAATTCTCGAGAATAAGGCGACGGAAAGAAAATATCTAAGAGTAATTTTTTGTTGGAAATTTGTTGTAGAATCGACACCCTGTGTATGTCCGAACTTATACGTAGACACCCTGTATACACGAATAATAATTCTTCGGCAACTCTCTATCAATCGAATCAAGAAGTGAATAACCTCGACAAGCCTCTACGACCTCACACTCGCGTCAGCTATTTCGTTTCCAGCCTCCGGACTGAAGCCACTTGGATCAAAATAATCCGGAATAAAAATCACGCGATGCAGACAGCGACGACCCCGGTCGCGGGTCGTCGATAACAGAACGCCGATAAGAAGGTCACGGCGCGGAGATCTTTCGGTGTCCAAAGGATTTCTTGCGTCTCGAATTGATCAATCGGCGAAGCACTAACCGTGGATCGGACAGTGTGATCCAGTCGTGGCCTCAGAAATGCCAGGCACGCTCGCGAACGACGATCGAACACGCGACCAACCGGTCGACAGGCTTCCGCGATACATCCTGGTGCTGCTGGGTGAGATTCCTGAGAATCGGATGAATCTTTTACTCCACGCCCCGTGAAATCTGAACCGTCGCCCATCGAATGCCACCGGGGACTCTCTCGTTTTATTCTTGGAATTCTTCGAGATGCTTCACCGTGATGTGGACGGCTTCGACGGTGGTTCTCTGGGATTGGTTCTTTCTTGTTTCACCAGTGGAGTGCCCGAGTCTTTGTTTCTTTTACATCCAAAGTGCTAGAAGTGTCTATTTAATTGAATTGAGTTAGTTGGTCGATTTCTGACAATAAGAATAATTCGTATATTCTATATTCGGTACTATCTTCGTTGACATTTTGTTTAAAAACGTTTTCCTCCGTGAAGCTGAATTCATTGGAAAATTAACAGAATGTCAGATTTATTGACAGAATGATTTAGCTTCACGAAGAACTCAATAATTACTCTGTATGCAAAGATTTGGATTATTCGTCGACGCTTAAATTGCCCTGTTATCGCTACAAAACGATTCCCATAGCTGTTCGTATTAATACCAGATATAAATTGTCTTATCTCTTGCATTCCCGCCATGACGGGAATCGTTGTTGTCGTTGTTATTCTACTCGTTCTTTCACGAATTAAATAAAATTCTTCAAGCATATCAAACATAAAAAATACAACCCCGAGATTTACTACGTGTCACCTGAAGTAATCTACCCAACCCACGTGATTCCTCCCCATTCCTGGAGGATCGTTTAACCCACGAAATTATTTTTCATACGAAAAACCCCGCAGCCAGCCTGTCCACGTTTTCGATTGGCACGTATCTGGCGTGGAGCTCGTCAGCCTTGTCGATCCTTGGTAAAATCGAGGGGTTGACGATCAGCAAACAGGAAGCGTCCTGGATCTGTGCCTTGGTGCCTCTAGGTGCCACGGTTGGCAGCCTGCCAGCGAGAATAATCGCGGACAAGATAGGTCCGAGGAAGAGCATTCTGCTAAGCAGCCTCCTGTTATCGTCGTGCTGGTTCGTTATCGGGTTTGCGCGAAGCAAACTATGGTGGGTACTGTATCTTTACTACCCTCCGCAAATATTAACGTCCGTTGTTCCGAACTGCTCGTCCCAGAAATACCGGGAGATTAGGTTTAAGAAGCGTCCAATTTATTAGACACCTCGGGACATTTGCGTCGACTTGATCGTGCGGTATCGCGATAGTCGGTTAGAACATCGCAACACGTCGGTGTTAGACTGTGATTCCTTTCACACAGCGAGGTATCGCGTAGAAAATATTTATTCGAAAATAAAATACTGTTCACCATTGTTTCTGTTTAATAGAAATGTTAATCTTCAAGGATCTCCTTGTCGCGCGTCGCTGCCGGCGCAGCCTGCGGAGCGTCCTCCATCTTGGTTCCTACGTACGTCTCCGAAATCGCCGACGAGGCTATCAGGGAATCGCTGTGGACGATTCTCCAGCTCCAAATCGCTTTTGGAGTCCTGTTCGCCTACGCGACAGGTGAGTATACCTCCAAACCGGATAAAACACCTTGTGTAAAAAAATGTCCGGTTTCGAATCTATGAAGTGTGCAGGTTTCAGCGACAGTTTGCTCGTGATGGCGATCCTGTGCGCGTTTGTCCCTGGATTTCTCACGATCGCGTCCCAACTGATACCAGAATCTTCTGTCTGGTTGATCGCGCAGGATCGTCGAGGAGAAGCAGACGCGATCGCGAAACGTTTCGGGGGAAGACTATGTCTCAATGAAGAGGAGACTCGGAGGTGGCAAACAGGGAACGTTTCAGATCTGAGGAATCATGGAAGGGCGACGATCATCGCTTTGGGTAAAGTCTCGTTGACGAAGCAATAGAGGAAGTTGAAGTGAATCGATCCATTGGAGTTGAAAAAAAAAAAAGGAAGAATTGAAATATCCGTCTTGCCTCAACTGTATCGTTCGTAATAATCGATTTATGTTGAAATATCTATACTTGTCAGGTTTGACGATGTTCCAACAGCTGTCAGGGGTGAACGCCGTCACGTCCTACGCCAGGAGGATATTCGAACACGTAGGGTTCCCCTTAAGCTCGATAATTTCTGCTCTTATCTTAGGATTGACATACGTGATCGCTACGTTGCTCTCGACAACGGTCGTTGATCGTGTTGGGAGAAAACTTTCACTGTTCCTCGGCATGTCCATCATGTCTGTCTGCATGTTCGTTCTGTCGGGGTATTTTCGCCTTCAGGTAAATACATTTTTTATCTAATTCTCTCCCCTATCGATACAAATATTTTCCAAGTCTGGGATTCTGTCGTTTTCAACAGATTCATAATTTTCTTTCGTTGCAGAAAACGCACGAGATGTTAAGCTTCAGCTGGCTGCCTTTTTTCTGCCTCGTGATCTTCATCGGTGCTTACAGTGTCGGCTGCGGCCAGATACCTTGGATCATCGTCGACAAGATCTTCCCAAACGACGTCAGATGGACCGCCATTACAGCCTGCGTGATTTGTTATTGGACATCAGCGACTGTAGCGACGAAATGTTTCCAGGACATGGTGGATTTCATGGGGATGTCTTCGACGTTCGCCACTTATGGAATGGTCAGCTTGATCGGCATCTCTTTCGTCGCCATTTTGGTACCGGAAACGGAGGGAAAGAGCGTCGAGGAACTGCAGATCGAGATGCACGAGACACAGCGTGATTACGTGACCTGTATCTAGGACTCGCGAGTTTGGAGATAATGGTGAAAATGGTAACAATCGAAGTCGCGCGAACGGGGCGATATATTAAAAAATGTTAGATCCGTCATTGATCGATTTAAACGGTGGCGTGAATTTCATTTTTATGCTTTCAATTTATCGCATTAAAATGTAAACGACAGAACGTATATATTTCTACAAACGACATTTTCGAAGATGGTAGTAAGCCGAAACCTTGCCACAGACTCCAAGGATCGGTCAATAGCGGACCTTGACTAACGCAAAGTTTACGATACCGGAGAAGCCATGGGGAAGATATTATGTTCCAGACGTGAATTATGTTTCGAGAAAGCTCGCCCAGTGGAAACTTCCATGGCTTAAAGGTTTCTGTAAATTGTTGCGGTAGAATGCCGGTTTATTTCCGCCGGAACGTAATTGGGTTGCGGTTGTATACGAAAATTTAATTAGACTCCTTTTGTGTTGTTCGTGCTTGTAACTGAGAATTCTTGAAATCTGCGCCTGTGTGTAATCGACTAATTGTAGTCTGAATAAACCAGCTCCGGTGTAAACGATTTCGAGGACAATCGAATAACTGTAATTAATGGGAAAATTAAACAATTTCCAACGATACAAATCCATCTCAGTTTCCTCGATCTCTAACGAGATTATTGTATGTATCGTTAACAGAGGACGAATTACCACGGTCGAGTCCTGAAATCTGGTCCAAGAGAGACAAGAACGCCCCAAGGATCAACGATCATGGATTTTATTCGCATGTTTATTTTCATTCGTTCGATACGTATGCAGACGATATATCACATAATACAATGAACTGCGCACTGAATTCGATAGCTCGGTTTTCGGACGTCCCTCTGCCCCCGGACGAAACGCGCGTGATCTACGTCCGACTCGCGACAATAAACGCTTTGGAAAAAATCTTGATACACCCGTACAAAAATTCCCGACGAGTTCTCCATTTGAATTGCGTCGGTATAACAATACTTATATGTTCAACCCCAAAAGTGCCCCAAAGGAAGCCACGGAAATGGACAAAATTTCATTCGAATAACACACCACGAATAAACCATCGCGTTAAATATTTATTCGTTCACCGCGACACGTTCCTATCAATACGAGTCAATTTTGGATTTTTATTCAAAGAGGAAGATAACGAATAAATTGATAGACCAATTTTAATTTTCATTCGTTATTCGAAATTCGCAACGAGATAAGAATTCTGCACATTTCCGGGGAACTCCCAGTCTCAGCGACCGCCTCGACCAGTGCTGTTCGACTTAAGCCCCCACTCTGTCTCCTTTGGTCAAGAACAACGCGCATTCGTAAAAACATAATACTGCGCGTGGTGGGGAGACAAGACCGCGCAAGTGGCGCCGTCGGTGGACAGCACTGGTACCAACGAATTCGAAGTTTTCGTGGCGGGCAGCATACGTTTCTGTTATTCGAGGGGTATACAGTAACACGAATGCGTACTCTTCTTCTTCTCGACAAATTTTCAGTTGTTACGTAACTGAAACAGTAGGAAATACATCACGTAGCACCTCGCGTGACCTGTTGCCCGTAGGTTAAATTAGTACTACTTCTTTCCCGAACGCAATCGAAGGCATTTAATACATAATTTTCAACTTATTGCAATGCGCTGTTAATTCATAGCGACTTATTCGATTCTCGACTAACAGGTTAGACGTTCAGCGGCGCTTACGGTTCTGCGCACCCGTGCTACGCATCCACAGCGACTCCGCGTAGCAGAGGTCAAAGAAGAGGCGTTCAACGTTCCCCGCATCCTTCGAATAACAGAAACAAATGCACAAACACGTTCGAGTGCCGCGTTCGTGTCGCGGCGCGATCGTTAAACGCTATTATCACAAATAACCAACGAGGAACGGTAAAAAATCTACGGAAACAATGGCCGAACGCTCGGGACCGGTGCTGAGAGGCCAGAGGGACCCCCTGCTCGGTAACCAACGGGTTTGAATTGTTAATAGCCGCGCCGACGAGTGGGTATGTTTTTTTTTCTTTTTTTTTTTTTTGTTGTTATTTGCGTTTAACATAGCTGTGTACACATAGATATTCGACACGTACGTACGTTATTGGATCTCGCGCGAAGTTCGTTTCCAAGCGTCGCGAAGTTCGAACCAGTCTTCTGATACTTGCTGCAAGCACGCCGCGAAGTTTTCACGATTGTTATTCTCTTCACTCTCGTCGGTAGGGAGGGGATGAGGGGGGGAAGGAAGAGGGACGGGGTTCGATCTGAAAGAAGCTCGAGAAGCACACCGCGGGTAAGCTTCACGAAAAAAACGAAGGGGTTTTCGCGTATTCCTCTGGCATTGTCTAAACTTCACCAGGCTCACTGAAATACTATAGCGAGTCCCGTTTGCCGAGATCAAACTGAACGTGGATCCCTGACGAGTCCGTTCGTCCTTTCTACGTTTTTTTTAGTCTTCTTATGTTTCCGTTTGTATAGCCGGACGCGATTTATTCGTGAAACGAAGTAAGACACCGAAGAAGCTCGAATGTTTGTGGCGATCACCGCCTAGTCGGGGCGGAATCCTCTTATTGGAACGGTCCTGGAGCCGTTCCCAGGTGGTTGCACCGGCTGTGCTCGGTTCCGCGGCACAGACGGTGCCAGGACTCGAATGCTCGCGCCGTTGGGAGCCTTCAGAACGACTGGATCCTCACTTTGGAGGTCCTCGAGTCAAAGGTGACGCGCTGCGCGCCACACCTGGCACGCTACAGTCATCTCGACTCGCTTTGCGAGTGCACCGTGGGCTCTGAACTGGGGTCCGGGTCCGAGTCGTCGATCGACACACCCTGTTGCGGCATGCGCATGGAGTAGCTGGGACTCCTGTCGTTTCTGGAACGGAAATTTATGGAAACGTCAGTTGGCGAGGTCGTTCGAAGGCGCGATGACGAGGTATGAGACGTCGCGAGGTCAGGGATGTGTCGGAACACCGGTCGAATCGGTGTAGAGGTAGACGGGAAGCGTCGGAGGTCGTTTAGATGACTCGTTAACGGTTCACGGATATTTTGGTTAGCGTGAAATAGTTTTGGAACGTGATGGAAACTCTGGAGTTACTAGAATCTATTGTCCCGATATTTGTGTCGAGGTTGAGGCGTCTCGAATCGTCAGAGTCGATCCCGAAGACATTGAGTTGAACGAGTCGTGGTCTCGTCGAAGGATTGGTGTGGGATGATCGGTGTAGAGGCAGACGGAACGCGTCTAACGGTTGAAGGATATTTTGGTTAGCGTGGAATAGTTTTGGAACGTGATGGAAACTCTAGAGTTACTAGTATCTATTGTCCCGATATTTGCGTCGAGGGTGTTCTGAATCGTCAGACTCTATGCCAAAGACGTTGAGTTGAACGAGTCGTGGTCTCATCGAAGGATTGATGGACTCGGACAACTTGAAGGGATTAGATTGTCAAGGAATTGTATTACAAGTGATATCCACTAGATTTACTCGGGAGATTGGGACAGCTGATGGCTAGACCTGTCTGGAGTATCAGATTATCGCTCATATAGACTAAGGACCACTTCTCAATCTCGGTAACGCAGTCTGCAGCTCCTACCGTCGAGCTTCTTCGTGTTTGTCGCCCTCACCTCGCTGTTAATTGGCTTCCGTCGCTGCCGCGTCTGACTCCGTTGCCCCGCCGCTTGCAGAAGCATTTGCAGATAATCCTTTTGAACGCGAACCGAAAATCCTTGCTGAAGAGGGCGTAGATACAGGGATTTATCGCGGAGTTGCAGTAGCCCAGCCAGAACAGCACGCTGAAGACGGTGGGGTGAATGCAGTTCGGACAAAAGGCGCGCACCAAGTACATCGTGAAGAAAGGAAGCCAGCAGAGAATGAACCCGCCGACGATGATACCCAACGTCTTCGCCGCCTTCGTCTCCATGCGAAACCTTCTCACCTACAACACAAGCACCCGCGATTTCTCGTTATTTTCAACAACGAATCTCAACGCAGTCTGCGGAAGCTCGCATTTCTCTGGCACATTATTCTCTACACAATACGAATCGCTGTTTTCTGCTGAGAATTTAGGGCCTGGGCTCGCGCAATTTATTATAATTGAAACTGTTGACTGTCGATACGCGAGACAGAAAATTTCAAGCAACTGGAAATAATAGAAGATAAAATTCTAAAGTGTGGAGAAAGTAATTCTGTAGACTGGAGATTCGTCGTTTCAAATAAATAGTTCGAAATAGAAGTATAAATTTAAAATATCGAGAGCAACGGTTCCGAAGGGAGGGCGAATAGATTTCGAAGCGTGGGAGGAGCCACGCGAAAGAGCAGAGGAAGCCTACTAACCACCTCGATCAGATTTTGCCCAGCAAAACGAACGCAAAGCAAACGTTCTCGACGCATCGAAAGCAATCTGAAATTTGGTTCGTTTTGGTACCTGAGCTTTTATGTTTCTCTTCCCCATCTTCATAGTCCTGGGCTTCTCTTCGGGGCCCGGGGTGAGTTCGCGCAACGACACCTCGTCTCCCGTTATTTGACTCTCGCAGCTGCTCCGTCTGCTCGGTCTCCTGGTGCTGCCTACTCGATTGATACCGCCCACCTGTCACGAACGCATCGAATCGATATTAACGACGAGCGTTCCCGCCGTTTATTCGCCAAGTATAACTCGCGTCGCGTGGAATTTACGATCGCCTCGTAAAGTCGTGCTTTTCTTATCAATTGGAAAAAGAGGTGTATGGTTTGCGCTATGAAAGCGAACAAGTGGGGCAATTTAACGTGTAGTCGACTTTCGTGCAGTGGCTCTTTGCTGAAGATAAATTAGATCGAGAGGATGCCGGGCCACTTATTCCATTAATCGTCCTAGTTTACGTGAAATCTGGTTCGATGATACTTTGCTCCAGAATTAATTTATGAATTCTTGTTTCGCTCATGGTAGATCTAATTTTCAATGTAGCCAGTAATTTCGTGTTTACAAGTTGTACGATTTTATTCCGAAAGACTGTTTTATTTATTACATTCGGAAGCATATGATTAAATAATATTTTTAAATCCAATACACCGCGTAACGGGACTTGCATAGGCTTACATTTATCGAGAACATGTCTATCTTGAACCAAACGCATAGTCAAGGGTATCAATTATTTAAAGGACGCTAATTATTTAACTCCATGTTAGCCACACGTCGCTTGTTCCTCGCAGCGAGGGAATCACAAAGGTCGTTCGGGATGGTTATTCAAGCAGTCAGAAGCACAGATTTCAGCGCATTCAGGGCCTCTGATGCATATTTATGGGAGCTCTATAAACGTCCACGCAAGGAGACGACGAGTTTCTATTTTCCGCGAGGCGCGATTTAAATTTCAGAAAATTTAATTACAAGCGAAACAAGCCGAGCAACGGGTTCACGGTAAATCGCCAACGAGAGAGAAAGCCAAACTGCCCCCTTCCCCCTGAGTATCGATTTCAGATTAAAATCCTCCGTTTAAGCCGGCCTTTTAAATTCCCATCCGTAACTTCGTTAAGTCCAGAAACGGTTCCTTAACACGGGAATTAAAATAAATTTTCTTCCATCGTTCGGACTAACCCGGCCGAGCGTATTTTCTCGTTACTCGAAGATCGTTCTCCTTATTCCAACGACTCTTCTCGCACACTTCTGAAATTGGTAATTCCCATGTATTTATGGAAAGCCACACTCGCGATATATCATCCCGCGACCGTTCCAGTTCTCGGGATTCTAATTGCGATTCATACCGCAGTCCGAACGACCTTCGTTAGAACGTTTCGTTTTCGTACAAGTGGATGGAGAATGATTCGTACCATCGGCATCGTTACCGCGATCTATATTATTACACGTTGATATTATATGGAAAATAAGGCACCGAACCAGCGTCCTACCAGTCGTGCTCTTATTTCGCTCTTTATATCTGGATACGTTAGTCCTAGGTACTACGTTTATATTATGTTTAATAAGTGAGAGAGTAAGAACTCCAACATTGGCACTATTTCTCGAATCAGAAGGAGCTTAGTTGATACACTTCTTCTCTCGTTGGCTTCTATAAATTCGATCAACGAGCATTTAAAATTACGCATGGAAAATTACAGCACGACCGGTTCCTTTCTGTTTCGCGTTTCGTCCCTTCGTTTCTGGACCCGTTGGGAGAAGCGAGTCGAGGAATATTACCTTGAGATGCGTGCTCCTCGAGGCTGGACATAGCTGGCTCTGCGTCTGCCCGTTGCTGTAATGCACGGAGACTTGAGAGCATCTCGAGGGCGTCCTCTCGAGAGTGTTACACTTTGTATTCAGCGTCTCCGTGCTCGGATAGGAAACCGAGATCTTTATCTTCTCCCTTTTCACCGAGCTACGACTATTCGACTCCGGGCTTCTCGGGCTCCCGTTGTTGCTCCCGTTGTGAACGCTGCCTCGTCCCCGGTGCATCCTCAAGGTCAACCTTTGTTCGTCGAATCTGCGGAAAAACGTCCCGGTCCCACGTCGGGTGCGAAATACGTGGCGCCCGTTTACGGGAAAGTACCTACATTCTTATTTCCAGCTTTACGACACCCCCGCGAGGAAACACTTTCCATTTCGCTCTGGCTTACACTTTCACCGCCGTTCCCGATGCGATTTTGCTTACGGTGGAGAGAACGATCGGAAGGAACTCGAAATGTAGGAGTTGCGACATTAATTAAATCAGCGTGCTAAATTTCGTAACTTTATGATCGATCCCTACCGAGATACAGAGC